AGAAAAATTGTATCTTTTTGGATAAGATGCATGCTCTGCTTGTAAGAACTCCCAGAAGCATTTGATGAACACCACTGAAACCAGAATTACGGGCTTGGTGAGTTTTCATCAGGAATTACCAGCAAGATCATTCTTGGGTTCTTATGCTAGGAACATACAACATCTTTCTAATATATTAAAATCAGTGGAAACAAAGAGACAACAGCCAGGAGTAAATTCTTTGTTTAAGCCTTACCGCTGTTCAGTTTCCTGAAAGAGGATGACCACTAGAGACAGCAAATGGTAAACTAGAAAGACCATTGATCAGATGCTGCATGTCCTTTATGTGAGATTGCTGCATGCAGGTCTAGCTCTGTAAGTGAATAGCTAGCGGTCAAGGCAACAGAACAAAGTGAGCTGAGAAGTGATAGAATTTGCAAGAGCTTCTCACTCTCTGTCACTGCTAACAAGAGATTTGTTATTTATTTTTTTATATATATTTTATTGGACTTCTACCCTGCCCATCTAGACCGAAGGTCTACTCTCAGGAAAAAAAAATATCCTGGGAATGCGCGAAAAGAAAAACACATGAATGAATGAACAAAGTGTTTAAGAAGTTCTTTATAGGTTGTTCTTCATTCCTACAGCAGGGTCAAAAGGACAAAGCACACTTTTTACACTATATATTAAAACAAAGTAATTGGAATACATACACATTAGGTCTTCTGTATAAAAAGTAGAAAGAATATGCACAGAAGAGTTTAAAGAGAAGGCACATACATTGTATGCTATATGCTGGAGAAGCCAGCAGTGGGTGCTGCTGTTCCATAAGACGAACATTCCCTTTACAATATACAGTACTTGTGAAATAATTCGGCGCAGATTTGAAAAAGAGGAACTTGTTTTTTGGTCAGTACTTAGAACCCCTCCCAAAAGACACAGAATCCAAAGAAGCCTTTTTTTCCCCAACCAAGACTCACTTTTTCTGAACATTTATGAAGCCAAAACCAACAAAACTTGAGACACCTTTGCTAAGGATCAAATAATCACACCTTTGTATGTCCTGAATTGATGTCCTTGAGTTTCCAAAACACAACACAGCTTTTCCATTGTGGAGTAGCATCTACAAGACTGTGCTGCCCTGTGTCGTGACATGATGCCTCCTGGGGTTTGTTTCATTCACTGAGAACTGTTACTATGACCTATTGAATTGTCAGCCATCAAATTCAATCACAAGAATCCTTGCTCTCCATCTTCCACCATCTGAAGATTCATACGTATAGCTATTCTACATCCCATTAGCAGTGGCTGTAGAAGACAATGGGGTGAGCAAGCTTTGTAGCTGTTCTAACCACAGAACTGAATGGGACACCATACTGAAGTCCAAACTGGACATTAATGGAGATACATATTACCCGGCAGTTACCCTGTTTTTCTCCTAAAATATGTTTCTTAAGACATATGTCCTCTAGCAGTCAAACTTGTAAATTAACTCCATTTGCCTTCCAACGACCAATTAAAAGATAAACTATGCGAAATGCAGGATACATAGTTGAGGAAAATCACATGGTATGACATGTTATGCTACATAAATGCTACTGCTTATAAATATGGCCTAAGTGTACAATCTAGTTTAACCTTGAATTCCTTTACTTGGTGTTTATTAGCTGAACTGTCTACCATAAATTGGCTGAAAAAAGCAATAAAGATCTTTAACCTTCCTTTCCCAAGTTTCTAGACTGTTTAGGTGCCAACTGTAGAAATCAACATCCATTAATCAGATTTAAACTATGTTCACTGTGGGATAATTTGTCCTGTATAAAAATCCACAACACATGGCTTTACTCTGAGGTAACATTATCAAGACTAGAAATGTCATAAACACTTCAAGCACTGTAAATAATATAAAGGTATACTTTGATGAGGTAGGACACTATTGAAGGCATTCCTTACCATGACAACTGTGACTGGCCCTGCACAACACTGTGAGGCTCAGTGTTCTTTAAAAAGCTGCAACATGGAAAATGTGCATGAACAATGCAGTCCAGAAGAAATCAATCATAGACTTGATGCCATTCAGCAAGAAATTTGTGCCACTGATACAAGACAGAGACACAAGGAGGCAAGAACAAGAGTACAGCAATGATCTTGTGCTGTCATAGCAAATCAACATTCTACATGGCAATTTTTTAAAATGGGGGCAGCCCAAACAAAGTATTATAACTTTGAAACTCGGTTTTGGGCCAGCATCAAATTTGGAACATTTCTATCAGACAGTCTGCTCTTGTTTTGTGTCAGATTTGGGAAAGTTTAAGCAAAGAGTTTTTTAATTATAATTTTAAAATTAAAATGTTTCCTCCTCTTTTAGAAATAGGCAACTCTAAACATCCCAATTTAAAACAGATCACATAAATTGAAAAGACCAAGCTTACTTATCTTGAAAGAGAATATTTGGTACCACTGACCTTTTTTATTTAGAAAAAGCCCAGACTTCAGGAGCTGAACTATTGATTCTCAAAAAAGGCTTTTCAAAAGCAAAAAAAGAGTTACTTTTTCATAAGACTGAGCATGGCTGGTACAAGCTAGCTAGCAGGAGCTTCACAAAATGAAACATTGTATACATGTGTAGAGCTGATGGTGATCAAGATATTTATAGAAAGGCAACAGAAACAGACTGAAAAGAAGGTTGAATACATAATAAAACCCAGCTTTACTTTAAAGAAATTAATGGAGTGACTGTCCTCCAGAAAGGGGGATATTTTGCAATGTAACTTCAGTAAACATTCTCTCAGGATTCCTGAGACCAGTCTCCTCACATGCATTTTCAAAGGGGAAATCAGCTCCAAACCTGGAGCAATCTGAATTTTTGATCCTGTCAATCAGGATGCAATTAGCTGACCCTTAGCTAACTTTGTAACTTTTTACTGGCCAAAGAGGTTTATCAAAATCATGTTAGTGATGGGATTCTATGCCTGGCAGTAAAAATAGTGACACAAAAAGACTATTTAAAAAATTAAATACAAATACTGAACATCTTTTTTAAAATTATATATTTAAAAAAAACAGAATAATAAGATGTTCGTTTAACCTGCAAAATGCGCCATTCAGTCACTTCTGTAGTGAGGTGACTGTATGAGTTTAATGATGTCCCAAATGTCCTATTATTAAAAACTCTGCTCAGATCCTGGAAACCAACAATATCTCACGTTAGGTTGTTCTCTCTTCCCACTGCTTTCTCTCCACAATACTGTATTGTCTTCCTCAATAGGTTTTGCTCAGGTCTTGCAAACTAACAGCTGATTCTTTTGTTCAGTCAAGCCATTTCATATAAGATCTTCCTCTTTTCCTACTCCCCCTCCCTTTTCCCAGCAATGTTGTTTTGTCTGGTCAGTTCTATATTATTTACAAGGTAGAGTAACCTCATTTTACTCATTTCTGTTCTAGTGAGAGTTCAGGCTTGACTTGATTGAGCACTCACTTATTTGCCTTTCTGGTGGTTAACTTTGTAGTATCTGTTAAGGATCACCTCCAACACCATATTTAAAATGAATTGATCTTTCCCCTGTTTTTCTTCACTATTCACCTCTTGCATAGTGTCATCGACATTTGGGCTACCTTTTGTTATGTAGTTTGCCATCCTTTTTCTCACTAGCAATGCAAGCATAATATTATGCTGTAATATCAGACCATTTTCCAGTGTTTTGAAGCACAGTACCCCACATTCCTAAATCAGAGGGGTTTTTTTTTGAAGAACTGAATTCATTCTATACACAACTGCACCATTAACCATCATGCTTAGGCCTTGCAAACTAAAATAACGCTTTATTAAGTCAATCTATCTGATGTTAGATCTTCCGTTCTTCTTTCTGCTTTCAACTTTTCCTAACATTACATACTGCCTTGTCCAGTGAATCTTGCCTTCAAATGACACATCTAAAGTACAACAGCTTCAGTGCAGTCATTTCAGTTTATTCAACAATCTATATCTGCTGTCAACTAAAGCTAGCAGAAAACTGACTTGAAAGTAGGTACTATTCTATAAAATCACCATAGAGACTCCCCTGTAAGAAACAGTACATTGTTCAGAGTCAATAAACAATGTTGCTCCATTCCCCAAAGCATTTTTTCTTGCAAGAGCCCACTATAAAAACAGGGGACTGCAAGGAGAATGAATATGAATTTACAAACCACATTGCAGATAAAAGAATCCAAAGCACAGCAGCAGCCCTCTGGAAGGGGCAAACAAGACTACAGCGCTCAAAAAAAACCCCTTAGATTCAGAACACATAAAAGTGTACTGCTGCTGCTGCAGATGGCTTTGAGCACTGCTTGGCTTGGAGAACTACAGAATGCCATCAACTGTTCTGAACGGCTTCACAGGAATGCAGGAGCACCATCCATAGCTACCCCCATCAGCTTCACAATTTACAAGAAGCTGAATCCAGGTCTCCCTCAGCTTAAGTCTAATGCTTCATCCATTATGCTATAAATGGTGACCTGTAGACCAACAACAAATTTAAAACCATAATCCCCATCATCCTTGGCCATACTGACTATGGCTGATAGGTGGAGTTCAACAACTATTTGCAATGTCATTCCCCCTAGATTACATCATATTAGCTCTCATGTCAGCACACTGTTGTCCAGAGAGATTACTTGTTACATGCAGCTCAAATATGCCCAAATTCTGTACTTAGTGATACAGTCATTTCACCATATACAACATTTTGCTTACTCATTTTTAAATGATTGTACTATCAATAAGCAGAAATCGTAGCTACCTACACTGGTGCTAGTAAAGGTAAAGGTTCCCCTTGACAATTTTTGTCCAGTCATGTCCAACTCTAGGGGGCTGTGCTCATCCCCGTTTCCAAGCCATAGAGCCAGCGTTTGTCCGAAGACAATCTTCCGTGGTCACAGGGCCAGTGCGACTTAGACACGGAACGCTGTTACCTTCCCACCGAGGTGGTCCCTATGTATCTACTTGTATTTGCATGCTTTGGAACCGCTAGGTAGGCAGGACCTGGGACAAGTGACAGACGCTCACTCCGTCACGTGGATTCGATCTTACAGCTGATCCTACACTGGTGCTAGTGTGGGACTAATTCCAGCACACTTGCAGATGTGTTTTGGATGACAGTCTAGCAAAGATTTTGTCTGCTCTCCTTATGTTTGTGCATACATACATATGTTGCTGTAATTGCATATGCGTAACACATGAGTTCATGTGTAATCAAGCTAGTATGTGAGTGCAACCAGCTTCTTTAATTTGAGTCATGATGCTGGCTGTCAGAAAATAAAATCGTTTTAAGGTTAGATTACAGAATGTTTTCAGAAATCAATGTATTTCTGGATTCCAGAGTCCACTGGGAACCATCTTAGACAAAGTCCTACACAGGGTTTAAAATAGTTACACTAAGGCCAGTACATGACCACTGTACACTTTACATTCATATACAGTATATTAAACATCTTTCTTCAAGTCCAAGCATTCCCCCAGATTTAAAAGATCAGTAGCTGTTCAGTTCCTTTCTCCAAGATGTAACGATCTTCTTTTACTTTTCCAGGATACTAGATAATGGCATTAAAAGTAGGCCAATTTCCACCCCGCTTCAATTATTTTTAATTAAAAAGTGCAAGTGTTGTGGCTGCCACTCCTGTTATGTTGGATGCTCCCAGTTCCACAGAAGTGTTTTCAGATGGCAATGTCTCCTGACTGTCTTTTTTGCCTTCTATCCATCTCAAGTGTTCCCATCAGCTCTTAGACAAGACGGCCAACTAAAATTGCAGGGTGATAAAGAAAAAGAACATTGAAGGTGGGGACAAACAGTGAAAGAGCCAATAAAATTATTTTGTGAATAATTAATAGGGTTGAACAGTTTCACATTAAAGCAACTAATGATTCCCAAGAAGACAGTACAATATAAGGCTGCTTTTTAAAATAAAGTTTATGTGCTAAATTCCCAGTCCTGGAAGCCCAGAGACTGGACCCCTGTTCTAAACGACTGACGAGATGCCTGATCGATTACTTTTTCTGCTTGTTTTGGAACTTTTCCTTGTTAAGAATTGCAAGCACATCCGTTAGATTTCATTGTTACCTCAATTTCCTCCCTACCTTGTGAGCTGGGGGGGAAGCGGTGTACAAATGTCTGAGATTAATTTCAGTGAGTAAATGTCAAAAGAGACAACCTCCAGTGACTAATTTGATTTACTGTATTCAAGCAATGGTGAATCAATAGTAACATCAAAAAGCTCAGACTCTTTTCTTATATAGTGGGCCATCTGATGCTTACATATGGGTTTAGAACTGTGTCTTTTATTAGGAAGCACTTGTCACTAATCACAAAGCAGAACAGAGACTGCACTCTTCTAAACAGTAATTTCAGTTTTTTGTGAAAGTAACTGTCAACTACTCAGGTAAAGGTAAAGGTTCCCCTTGACAATTTTTGTCCAGTCGTGTCCGACTCTAGGGGGCGGCGCTCATCCCGCTCTTCAAGCCATAGAGCCAGCGTTTTGTCCGAAGACAATCTTTCCGTGGTCACATGGCCAGTGTGATTTAAACACGGAATGCTGTTTACCTTCCCACCGAGGTGGTCCCTATTTATCTACTCGCATTTGCATGCTTTCGAACCGCTAGGTTGGCGGGAGCTGGGACAAGCAACGGGCGCTCACTCCGTCGCGTGGATTCGATCTTACGACTGCTTGGTCTTCTGACCCTGCAGCACAGGCTTCTGCGGTTTAGCCCACAGCGCCACCACTCAGGCTTATACTTAAATATTACATTTAATTTTATATCGTAGGCTTAAAAAAAGAATAAGCTGTACTCACTCAAGTAGTAAAAGGCTTTGGTTTGCCATAGAATTTTTTCCTGATCTGCACATCTGCAATTGGCATGGTTTGTTTTGCAATTAGGTGGGAAACAAAGGCAAATCTCACCTCAACACGACTTCCTCAGAGGTATATGCCTCTGCAATTAGACTTTCAAATTAAGCTTTTATTTAATTTCCAGTGATCAATCACGAACCAAAACACACTAAACACATAGTATAAAGGTGAAGAAAGTGTATGCTGTGACAATAGATGTCCTTTGCGTTTCTCAGGAGACAGATAAAGTGGTCAGTGAGTAAATATGCATTAAGCATATTGTCTAATTTGACCCCCGAGAGAGAGGACCGAAGAGCAGCAAACGGACATGTTATAACAGAAGATACTTACTGAAAGGATTGGCACCTTGTCTTTTCCCATGAGGGGAACTGCCACTGCTGCCTGCAAAATACAGAGAGTGTTATTTGTCTACTTAATTCCAAGTATTATGAATTGAAGAAACTAGCAAAACCTATCTGCCTATTATAATAACTTAAGTCCCACAGGCTGAAACCATAGCAGAGAACAAAAAAGTTACATTCCTCTGGATCAGACTAACCCAAGTATACAAGAAATACTTTGTTCAATAACAACATACATGTGAGAAAAACATGGTCTCCAAAACAATATTCTATGTGCAGTGTTGAGTTTGGATGTTTTTAAAGTATCACAGTTCTACGTAAATGGCCACAATAATTTTTTAAAAAGTTATTTGAAGAATTTCAGAATGCTACTTTCAGGATATCTATCTTGACAACATATGCAACATTAAAAATTAACCATTTGCTCAAGGTATGAGTGAACTGGAAAGTAAATTGCAATGTAAGAGTTGAAAAATGTTTTCTCCTAATCACAGAAATATAAACTGTTCATGGAGATATAAATGAGTCATATCGAGAGAGTTCTGAAATTTCAAAACATATTTTTCTATCAACAAGGGACTTCCGTTTTCTTCCTGGGATTTGACTCTTCCCTACAGGGCCACCAGAGGGTATTACACAGCTCCTCTTCGTTGCCACCGCTTTCAAAAATATCAGTGCTGACAAAAACATCCATCTGCTTTCTTGCAATTACAGGCCTTCTATTGCCTCCTGCAAACCTGAGTACACAACACAGGTAAACAGGGAGGCTAGTGACCAGCTCTTACCAGCTGCTTTTTTTCAAAAGGACGACTACAGGGACTCCAAATGTGATCACAGCAGTGATGCTCAGAGCAGCAGTTGTTGAACCCTCCCCACCAGTGACACTTCCTCTGCCCTTGTCATGTCTGCAGACTCAAGAGAAGAGTGTTGTTTATTCAGCCAGGATTGGTAGGGGTTAGGAAAAGGCAATGGGTTGATTCAGAAAACCTCCAAGAGATGGACCATAAAGAAAGCTTCTGTTACCCTTACCCAGCAATAATACATTTTAAATACATTTTTCACTACTGTACCACCCTGATTCCAAATGCTAAGCATGGCAGGATTTGGATAGGAGACTTTGAAATAATACCAGGGATCTCTAGGTAGGAACAAGACGCTGCCTGAAACCCTGGAACGCCGATGCAAATTAGAGTTGATAATACTGGCTTAGGTGAACCAAGGCAGCTTCCTATGTTCTTCTCTTCCTCAGGGAGAAATTAAGTGTACAGTAGGACCCCTGTATCTGTGGGACTGGCAGATTAGACAATGCTACTGTTAGATGTCCCTGGAAAAGACCCTGATGTTGGGAAAGCGTGAGGGCAAGAGGAGAAGGGGACAACAGAGGACGAGATGGCTGGACAGTGCCATTGAAGTGACCAACATGAATTTGACCCAACTCCGGAAGGCAGTGGAAGACAGGAGGGCCTGACGTGCTCTGGTCCATGGGGTCACGAAGAGTCGGACACGACTAAACGACTAAACAACAACAACAACAACTTTCCCACTTGGAGCTTTATGGTGAAAACACAGCTTTGATATAGAGTGGAGTGGGCTACTGATGAAAAGGAAAGGTAGAGGAAGTTGTGCAACCCTCATCATCCATGACTGGAAATGCCTTTTAAACTGCAGAAGGAAACAGAATGAGAATAGATTTTTTTTTCCCCCTGGAGTTCAGTATGGTTTGAAAGAGAACTGCTACTCATAATCTACCATATTTGCTGACAGCAAACAGATTTTTTTTATATTGTTTCAAAACACCTCAAGTTCTGTTTCGTTGAAGGTGAAATTGAGACAAGAAATATATTTGTAGGAACAAACCTGTGCTGTAAAAAGCCTTGTACGTTTTGGAAATAAAAATGATTTTTCTCCAATCCTAACTACAGTAGTTAGGGAGCAAGAAAACCAAAGAGAGATAGCATTTGAGCCAGACTGACTGCTGTATGTATGATTTTTAGCTTAGTCAAGGAAAGGGCTCCTCACCTCCTTCCTTCCCAACACCCAAACAGCCCTTCAGTTCTTGTAGCGAGATAGACTTGTCCTTGTTGAGATCACAGTAGTCAGTGAAGCGCCGGGTACATTTCTTGGGTTTGGCTTTCTTCTTCACATAGCGCTTGAAGGGCTTCATCTCTCTTTTGTTGATGTCATTGCTGTTATTGTTGTCCAGCTGACTGAAGTACCAATGGACCACCCTCTCCTCCAGTGTGTGGCTGGGATCTGGCTCAGAAAACCTTGAAAAGAGGAATGGGAAGATTCATTGGAATGCAACTCTAGATCATTCACAAGCCAGATATTGATAGATTCCAATGTTTATTTTGTTATTAAATTTATACCTACCTTTCTGACAAATAGGCTGTTTTATAAGGTTCTATAAAACGTACAGTACCAGACGTGGGTTCAGACAAAATTGTACTTAACTCATTCACACAAAAATGTACGCCTATGTCTTCCATGATTATGAGGTTTGACAATATCTGTATCTGCTTATCACTACCACTAGATGTATATCCATATAGTTAGACACACCTATAGATACTAGGATGTTTGGGAGTTATTTAAAAAGTTACAGGAGAGTGAAGAAAGGACTACAAGACGCCATTAAAGTCAGAGATAGGGAAGAAAGATATGTAGATTAAAACAGGGGAAATATGCAACATGTTAGATTTTATTTTTTTAAAAGCATTTATAATACAGTTCAAAAGCCAAGATGGAGCGCTGACGAACAAAGGCCTCATTGATTCCATTGGTCCTCTCTAATGAGGATTAAAAACTTAATGTATGGCCATGTGTTTCATGGAATATTAAAATGCACACGTAAAACTTTAAGTATACATAAAGCAAGATAGAAAATGGTAAATGCTGACCTAGCTTCACAAAAATAACATGGTATGGATTTATTTTGTACATGTAAATATACAGTTTAAATCCTATGGGTACTGAAACATTTGAATGTCCATACCTTGAAATACATTGAGTCTTGAAACAAAAAGCTTTAAAAAAAACCTAGTATAACATTACAAAAACATACCCATATCTGACAGAGGGATTGAAAACTGAAATTGATCAAATAAAAGATATGGGACTCTTTCTGCAATTAAGTACAGGCAATAGGTTTGTATTGAGAGAGACTGAGTGTGGTGTGGAGTGAAGGGACAGAAGTACTGGAACAGAGTCTTCTCTTTCTGTTTGCTGGCTGGCTGTAGTACACAACCAAGCATTAATATGACAGAGCCAAGAAACAGATAATGGTACTTGAAAGACATGTTATAATAGCTGAATGGCTCCAAGCTACCACGATTTTGACCTCTTCTTTCCTCTCTAGCAATACAATTCTCTACTCTTAAATTGTGATCAACTGGCCAGGAACAGAGGTTAGAGATAGCTTGTGGCTGGGAAATGGAAATTATTGGCTATTGTGAGCATCTGAGCGTCATAACACAAACTTCTCTCACCTCCAGTATTTTGCAAATTAGCTTGCTTTCTTTAGTCTTTCAGGATTTAAGCACTTAGTCTCTTTGAAGTCTGCTTTGACAAACATAGACTGCTTCAGGTAAGCATTTGTCTTGCTGTTTTGTGCATTCCAGTGGTGGTGGTTCACTTTTTTTCCCAACAACCACATGATGTAATTACTGGAGTGGACCAATTTGCCCCCAGAACACCCCAATCCACACCCTTTTGAACCCCTATCAGAGGCTTTTCTTTTCTTTTTGGTATGTGTTGGTGCACTCTAGTTTAGTTCCCACATGTGATTGCTGGGAATGGAACCAAACTGGACCTTGCAGCTGTCAAAGCTGCCAAGGCTCCTTTTGCTGTCAATTTCTGGTATCGTGGTAATTTCTGATATCACTTCATGATATCGTCAAACTGAACAATTCTCCTGCTTCTCTTCACTGGATCATTTAGATTATTATTTTTTCCTTTCCATTTGTGTGAAGTGCCAATCAAAATTATGGCTATGGACAGTTTCTTGATTAGCACTATAGATAAGGCAAAAAATGTTTTTAAAGATTAATCTAACTGATTTAGTGCATCACAGATAGTCCAGCAGAGGCAAAAATAATAATTTCATTTCCAATTAGATGATTTAATGAGGTTTCAAGCAATGTGATGCCTCTTTTCAGTGGCTTCCTCTGATGGCTGTTGGAGCTCTTTGCCCTCTTCCCACTTTGTGTGTTGCCTAACCTGGCGCGCACATATACACAGGCACACACAACAGCACTCATAGCAGTCAAAAGGACAGGGAATCCCACCCAACTCCTTTCCCTGGGTTCCCCCCTGCACTCCTGCTCATATTCACTCTCTTCCTTTTTTCCTGATGGTCACTGGCACCCTCTCACCATCTTCTTTCCTGAACACGGAGGAGCTCCTTCACAGCTTTGTGATGTCAATCCTTTTTTGTTGTTGTTGTTAAACATCTCTTACCCTCTCACCCCTCCCCCTTTCAGTTGACAATGGCCAAATGAAAGGGAAAGTGTTCAATTGACACTTGACAGCAGATGGAGCAGGAGGGTTACTTGAGGTCAATATGACAGTTGGACTCACAGATCACACCAAAAGGAATATTGCTGTTCCCTGCAACCCCAAGCAATCCCAATTTGACTACAACAGCCTGCACCAAAAGGGCCAGTATGGTCACAATCTCAGTTTCCTCTCCGCAACATTAACCTGGTTTCACCTCTGGTTCTCTCTTGCCCTTAATATGTGAAAACAGGACATGCCTGCAAAACGAGGACATTTTTCCATTTGTATTCTGTCTTGATAACCACCATAGAAAGGCAATGTGAAATTACATGTTTTTTAAAAAATTGTGAAAATACATATTAAGAGAAAGTCAGATGTTTCAATCCTGCCAATACTGTATACCCATGAGACTCATTCCTGATACTGTCAAATTAGTCTAAACATACTTTGAAATCATCCAGAACTTTTGAGCTGCTAGGGATCTGGAAAATTTCTCCCTCCAGAAAGTAACAACATATTTCAAACAACAGAGGTGTCAGGTAAAAGTAACAACATATTTCAAACAACAGAGGGTTCAGGTAAGTCATGTACAGATAATGGCCCTTCTGAAGAATTAACATTTATTTATTTCTCGTTATACGAGGCACCACTGTATAGATAATGGCCCTTCTGAAGAATTAGCATTTATTTATTCATTCATGCATTCATTCAATTTATATCCCACTCACATTAATGCCAGGCACTACTCTGGATAATTACAACAAATATAATACAAAAAAATAAAAATAAAAGCATTAGAAACAAAAGCATTAACATAACAAAAGAACACAGACTTACCTGAAAGTAAATATTTATATTTATTTTTATGAATCAGCTCTCAGTGGTGAAACAAGTCTGTAACTTTTATCTAATTCAGAAAAGACTTGTGTACACATTCACCCTTTGTTAGTTATAAGTCATGTATTATTCATGTTCTATGCAAATGTGGTGGAGAGGCGGAGCCGAAAGAGAGGTTAAAAGGCGGAGCCTGAGAGTCAAGAGTCAGTCAGAGTCAGAGAGAGAAGGAACAGATATGAATAGAGCTAAGCTGGTTAAGATAAAAAGATAGAGAAGGTAGTAATTAATTATATGGCAAGAAGAAAGTATGTATAGAGAGACCTGTGAATGATTTGCTTGTGTACAATGAACATCTGAAGAACATCTGTGATTATTATTAACTTTGCTACACTTCAATAAATAAGTTCTGTTTGCAATTACCAAACAAATGTTTGGACAAACATCTTTTATATTGTGGACAGAGGTAACGCACTGGTGGCAGTGAGGGAAACAAAGACTGCAACCTTTGTGAGGGCACAAAAAGTAGGTGCTTCATAAAGGTGAACGTCACAACTTGTTTTAGAAATCTATATTATTTATAATATATATCAGCATTTTGAACCAGATTTCTTCATACTACCACCTAAATCTGTCAGGAAAAAAAATGGTGAGAGAACATATACATAGGTAACTGTTTCTCTACATGACACCTTTTCTCACACTAATGATATGTGGCATCAAGTCAATTATGACTTACGGCTTTCATCATATGTAAGATGCTACAAACTCCGAGTCCCCAAAAAACCCAGTATTATATGTTTACAGATTAGTCGTGAATTTGCTCTTTTTTTAAAAAAAATGATCACATGACACAAAAGCCAACATGAATCAGTCTTCAAAAATGATAGAATGATTTCAATACAAATCCAAGGCAGACCTCTCAACGTCACAGTAATCCAGGTTTATACACCAACCACTGATGCTGAAGAGGCTGCAATTGACCAATTCTATGAAGACTTTCAACACCTTCTAGCACTGACACCAAAGAAAGATGCTCTTGTCATTATAAGGGATTGGAATGCTAAAATAGGGAGTCAAGAGATAAAAGGAACAACAGGAAAGTTTGGCCTTGGAGTTCAAAATGAAGCAGGGCAAAGGCTAATATAGTTTTTTCAAGAGAACAAGCTGGTCATCTCAAACACTCTTGTTTAACAACACAAGAGGCGATTCTACACATGGAAATCACCAGATGGGCAACACCAAAATCAGATTGATTATATTCTCTGCAGCCAAAGATGGAGAAGCTCTATACAGTCAGCAAAAACAAGAACTGGAGCTGATTGTGGCTCTGATATTCAGCTTCTTTTAGCAAAACTCAAGCTTAAACTGAAGAAAGTAGGAAAAACCACTGAGTTAGTCAGGTATAGTCTAAACCAGTGGTTCTTAACCTTTGTTACTCGGATGTTTTTGAACTGCAACTCCCAGAAACCCCAGCCAGCACAGTTGGTGGTGAAGGCTTCTGGGAGTTGCAGTCCAAAACTCCTGAG